ACCTATAGAACAAATGAGAACACAAAACATTTTTAAAGGTAAAACTAAACTATAATTTTGGATGATGAAAATATCAAATAGAACAAAGGAGCGATGACCATAAAAGTCAGGATGTGATTGATGTTTATTTGAAAAGGGGAAGAGTTTATTGTTGAGCTGGGGCAACTGATGGGGCTTCGAGGTCAGCTGCCAAACTTCTCCCTCTCTTATGGTTAAAGGGTGTTTACCTTTGATGAAAGGTCACCATTTTAAGATCTGTTTTATTTTGTGTTACGTGTGTTTTATTTTATGATAAAAAGGCTAATGCAGAGTAAAATAAGTTATGGGGCATGGTTTCTGTTCCGCACAAAGCCTCCACCCCATCCTCCTCTCTGGACACTGAGCACCCAGAACAACTGGCAGCCCCAGGACCCCTGCCAGGACTACCTCATTTCTGAGTGTGCACCCAGCTCCCCATCACTGGAGGCAATGTCCATGATCTATTCCTTGAGGCCTGGATGAACCTGATAGGACACAGCTGAGGGGAAGTCTGGCCCCAGTCTGTAGGCTTTGGTCATCAGCATAGAGGGAACAGGTCCTCACCTCTCCACAGGCGCAGCTACAGCCAGAGTCTCCTCTCTGCGTGGGAGTGAGGCTCGGTCCTTCCCCTGAACAGGGTGACAGGGATCTCTCCAGAGGTGGAGATGACACCATTCCTCCTCTAACATGGTCCCATCTCATGCTCGTTCTGCTTTACAGGAAAGCTGACTCACGCTGGTGTCCAGTGAAGAAACCCTGGCACAGAGGAGGGACAGGTGGATTTCAGGGCTGTGCTTGATCTGGGAATAGAAGAGTACAGACCACCAGGTGGCGCCGCTGCACTGCTTCTGCGCCCAGGAGGTGGATGCTGGGGCTGAGATTGAAGGTGGGGAGAGGGATGTCACAGCTCATCGCACAGGTTCCAGGTAAAAATCCTCCTGCCCAGCCCATCTGGCTCTCCCTTAACCAACTCTAGTGAAAGCTGTCCCCTTCTCACGTTCCTCAAAGGTGCTTTTTTACATAAGAAAGAGGATGCGATCACTAGATTGTCCTGGTTTATTGTGCTGTCAGTAAAGTGAAATCAAAATACACACTTAATAAATAATAAAACAACCCATAATAAGCCAAATTTTATAATGTACTGATGCCACTGAGCCAGTGTTTATAATGTACTGACACACTCCAAGTGTGGGCACAGCTGCAGACATGCCTTGCCTCTTGGGTCAGGAATTGGGGTAGAGTGAAATGGGAAGAAACCCCAGTCACTGCAGAAAAGGGCCCCCATGGAAGAGGCCGGGCAGGGAGGCCAGCTGTCCCAGGGCCATCATATTTAGGGATGACTCCCCCTTTCTGGACAGCACTGTTTTTTGTTCTTTTTGTATTCACAGTAGTTCTGAAATTGCAGGATGCTGAGACCCAGCAGTGGTCAGTTACACTGTCTCTTTCTTCACCATTAAATGCTGTGCCAAATATCCCCTCATACATTTCTATCCTCTTCCAGGAGAGAATCAAAACAACAATGGACACATTGAAACATGCAAACATACTTTAAATATGTGCTGTCACAAGTAGCTACAAAAACATTAACTCCACCAAAATGAGAAATGTGTGAAAACGGAAAACATTGCATACCTGTATTCACAGCAGCATAACTCACCATAGCCAAGACAAGGAAGCAAACAGAGCAGCCATCAACACCTGCATGGATGAAAAACATGTGGTCTATGTAGACAATGGAATATGATTCAACCTTAAAAAGAAGGAAATTCTGTTATATGCCGCAACATGGATGAACCTGGAGAACAATGCTAAGTGAAATAAGCCAATCATAAGGAAATTCCAATACTGCACAATTCTAGTTATATGAGGTGTCTAAACTCTTAGAACCTGAAAGTAGAATGGCAGCTGCCAGGGGTTCAGTTGGGGATTCATGAGGAGTTTTGGGGCATAGAGTTTCAGTTTTGCAAAATGAAACGTTCTAGAGATCTGTTGCGTAACAATGGCTTACAGTTAATATGATAGTACTCTATACTTAAAATGGCTATGATACAAAATTTTACATAATATGGTTTTCGGCACAATAAAAAATAATTAGCTCTCTTATTAACTTAGGAAAAAAGCACATTAATTCATTGAAAATATATTAGTATGTGCTTACTATGAAAAAGAGACACAGAAAACTTGAGACAAAAAGAGAGATCCTTGCTACCCCAGCTATCACCCATGAATCAGCAGAATCAGCATCTTATGAAACTAGACAGAAAGGCTCACAGGCCCAGCCTTGACATCTTGAATCAGTCTGCATTTGTCAGGACCCCAGGTGGCTCCACTGCATGTAAGGCACTGCCCCAGATGGTGGTGGAGGGACATCCTAGGATGGTGACTCTGCCCCACAGGTAGGAGCCTCCAGTCCAGATGGGAGCAACCAGAAGGGCCCAGGAGGGACATTTCCAAGAAAGTAAAATTAATAGAATGTCCAAAGTCTCTGACTTCTTAAAAGAGTCACAGAAATGGAACAGATATCAAAGTTAAATTAATGAGTGTTATCTAGAAAATAAACAGGCCAGGTGAGGTGGTTCATGCCTGTAATCCCAGCACTTTGGGAGGTCGAGGAGGGTGGATCACAAGGTCAAGAGATTGAGACTATCCTGGCCAACATGGTGAAACGGCGTCTCTACTAAAAATACAAAAATTAGCCGGGCGCTGTGGCGCATGCCTGTAGTCCCAGCTACTCGAGAGGCTGAGGCAGGAGAATCTCTTGAACCCGGGAGGCAGAGGGTGCAGTGAGTGGAGATCGCACCACAGCACTTCAGCCTGGTGACAGAGCCAGAAAAAAAAAAAAGTAAAAGAAAATAAACAAAAACAAAGGCAAGTATTAACTTGAGGAAGAGCAAATACTACGAAGCAAGTGAAAAGTAGTCAAGTTGTCATATGAGATTAGTCACAGAAAAAGAAGCAAGGAATGGCTGAACTTGTGATACCTTGCCTTGTTTTTACCTGAGTAACTCTCTCCTAGGAGAGACAGACGGACAGACTCCATTTTAGTTTCTTCACTTGCAGCCTCCTTTATCCCCCTTAAGGGAATAGCTAGTGCAAACTGACTCCAAGCACATCCAGGAATGCACTTGCTGATAAGATACTGAGGCAGGCTGTACCAGCAGCTCCTGGGAATGTGCTCAGTGGAAGGTACCTAAAGCGCCTGCATTTATGTTTTAATGATACGGTTTAAGCCCCTGCCCCTGGAACTGTTTATTTTTTGTAACTTCTTCTATAACCAATTAATTTTTTTTGCCTATTCTGCTTCTGTAAAATTGCTTCAGTTACTATTTAGACCGTAGTATAAAAGAAAATCTAGCCCCTTCTTCGGGGCCGAGGGAATTTTGAGCGCTAGCTGCCTCCCGGTCTCCAGCTAATAAAGGACTCCATAATTTGTCTCACAGTGTGGTGTTTCTCTATAACTCGCTTAGTTACAACAAACTAAACATAATTACTATATAAATATATCGGGAAGAGGAAAGAATGGGAAGAGTGAAAGAGAACAAGTGATGGAGGTGGTGGCGTCACGTTCTCCCGGGAGGGGCAGGAGGTACCACACATGAGGGACTGACATGGCTAACGTGACCACTCTTCTCGTTCTGCCTGCAGCCCATAGTCTCTCCTCCCTGCCCATGGGTGCTGCGTGGGAGACAGGGGTGCGGAATCCGGCCGACCTCGCTGTCCCCGCCCTCTGCCTCGTGGCGTCGGTGGGGTTGGGGAGATGAGTCCTACCCCTGCTCATCTCCTGTGGCTGTTGCCTTTTGGGCAGCCCCTCTCCGCGGCGGTGGGACAGTGCTGCCAGCCTGTGGCGCTGCCCTTCCCTGGGCCTGTGAGGGTTGGCTCCGCCTGGACCTTTGTGGTGCTCCCGGAGCCCTCCAGGTGGTCCTTCAGGTGCCCGAGGCCAAGCGGTGGTGTCCTTCCTGTTCCCAGGGCCCTCTTCTCCAGTCGCCGCTGCAGTGCCTGTGTGCGGGTCCTGAGGAGTTTTGGTGAGGTAGAATTTTTATTTACTTATTTAAATTTGAAATTTAAAGCATGTTCATTACAGCAATGTCTCTACTAGAGACTATGCAGGGCAATGAAAAGGGGAAGAGATAAATTGTAGCACATTCCTGCCATGGAATACTATACTGCAACGAAAACAAATGAACTATTTGTCTGAACATTGATTCATCTTGTAGACCACCTTAACTGAAAAAACAAGCAAAAGAATTGTTGGGAACAGGCCCCCAAATCTGGCCATAAACTGGCCCCAAAACTGGCCATAAACAAAATCTCAGCAGCACTGTGACATGTTCGTGATGGCCATGATGCCCACGCTGAAGGTTGTGGGTTTACCGGAATGAGGGCAAGGAACACCTGGCCCACCCACAGCGGAAAACCGCTTAAAGATGTTCCTGAACCAGCACAATAGCATGAGCGATCTGTGCCTTAAGGACATGCTCCTATGGCAGATAACTAGCCAAAGCCCATTCCTTTATTTTGGCCTATCCCTTTATTTCCCGTAAGAAATGCTTTTAGTTAATCTATAATCTATAGAAATAATGGTTATCACTGGCTTGCTGTCAATAAATATGTGTGTAAATCTCTGTTCGAAGCTGTCAGCTCTGAAGGCTGTGAGACCCCTGATCTCCCACTCCACATGCCATATTTCTGTGTGTGACTTTAATTCCTTTAGTGCCGCTGGGTTGGGGTCTCCCCGACCGAGCTGGTCTCAGCAATGAATAATATCAGCAAGAAACAATTTATAAAAAGTTTAAAAGCAAAGCCAGATGTAGGGGCCTATGCCTGTAATCCTAGCACCACCTTGGGAGGCCAAGGAGAGCAGGTTGCTTGACCCCAGGAGTTTCAGGCCAGCCTGGAAAGCATGACAAAACCCTATCTCTACAAAAAGTACAAAAATTACCCAGGCTTGGTGGTGCAAACCTCTAGTCCCAGCTACTCAAGAGGCCGAGGTGGGAGGAATTGCTTGAATCTGGCAGGTCAAGGCTGAAGCGAACTGTGTTTATGCCACTGCATTTCAGCCCAGGTGACAGACAGAGACTCTGTTTCAGAAAAAAAAAAAAAAAAAAAAAAAAATACTGAAAGCATGTCAAACAAAGAGACTTTTCTAAAACTTAGTGAGAATATGAGGGCATACATCAAATTCAAGACAAACATTCACCAGCAGTTCTTGGTTTGCTCAGTACAATGTTGACTGAAACCTGTACTGAGCTGTGGAAAATCAGGGCTATCTACATGTATTTCTATTATTTTCTGTGTATACTACATATAGCCAATAATGTTAAAATGTCCCAAACTGACAAACCTGAGTGGCGGCTTCACAAAGATTTCTTATAATTCTCTATTTTTACTTCCAGCTAGAACTAATTCATAATAAAAATTTGTGAAGTGAATCCATAGAAATTGAGCAAAATAAAAAAGGATTTATTGAGTGTGAGGAAAGCTACAGAGAACTAAAGACAGATGGAGAGATGACAATACTGAGTATGTCAGTGACCTTCACAATAACAGATTTCCTGGAGGAGTGTGAGCTGGAGCCAGAACGAAGTGGATAGACTGTGAAAGAGGGATGAAGGAGCAGGAACTTCTGGAGGCAAATATGGCATGTGTTTGGCCTGACTGGGAGGTGTGGATGGACTCTGAACATTCTGCTTTATGTCCAGCACTAGAGAAAGAGAACTCATGTTTATTTAGCACCTTCCACAATCTGTAGAGAAATCTGAAACATTACAAAAGAAGATATATGAATGGCCAATTGTCTTCAGGGAAAAACACAAAGTAAAACCACAGTGAGAAACCACTAAACAACCATTCAAATGGCTAAATTTAAAATGATTAATAACTATAAATGTTGGCAAGGATGTTGAACAATCTGTGCTCTCATCCATTACCTATAGAAATATAAAACAGCCACTTTGAAAATCAGTTTTGTATCATGTAATAAAGTTAAACAACCTAGTACTCTATGGTTACCTTTCCACTCCTAGGTATTTACTCAAGAGAAATGAAGATTCTGTCAAAAATCCCTGTATAAGAATGTTCATAGTTTCTTTATTTATAATAGTAAAAAATCAGAAATAATTGCCAATGTACAAAAATCATGATTCATTCATACAATGGAATATTATCAGAAATAAAAATGAATGAACTACTGATACATGCAACAACATGGATTGATCACATAATTATTATGCCAAGTGCAAAAAGCCAGACACACGAGAGACCATACAGGATGAGTAGATTTGTACGAAGTGTTAAAACAGGAAGAACTGCGCTATCATGATAGCCATCAAATCAATGGCTGCTGGGGGCGGAGAAGCTGAGTTGAAGGGAGAAAAAGGGATCTTTGTGTACATTGATAGTGGCAAGAGTGATATGGCTGTATTTGTCAAAATTCATTGATAAAGTTGATGAAGATTTGCTTATTTTGGTAAATGTAAATTTTATAAGTTTAAAATGCTTATAATAAAAATTATGTTAGTGATAAAAATAATTAAAAATATTAGCAACCAAATCCAACAGTACACCAAAAGGATAATACACCGTGATATGTCCATATATGAAAAACACACAGCTAACAGTATAGTGAATGGAGACAAGTTTATAGCCTCCTCTGTAAGATCTGGAAGGAGGCACAGACTCCCACTTTCACCCCTTTTATTCCATCCGTACTAGAAGTCCTAGCCAGAGCAATCAGGCAAGTGAGGAAATAAAGGGCATCCAAGTCAGTAGGAGAAAGCCAACTTAGCCTTATTCGCAAGTGACATGATCTTTTACTTAGAAATAATGAAAGATTCCACCAAATAAATAGTTAGAACTAATAAACATATTCAATAAAATCTCAGGATACAAAATTAATGTGCAAACTTTCATAGCATTTATATATACCAGCACTATACAATCTGAAAAAAAAAAAATCAAGAAAGCAACACCATTTACAAATCACAAAGAAGATAAAATACCTAAAAATCAACTTATCCCAGGAAGTAAAACAAAAACTATAAAGCATCAATGAAGGAAATTGAAGAGCACACAAAACTGAAAGAACCAGGCATGGTGACACACATCTGTAATCGTGGGACTTTGGGAGGATGAGACAGGAGAATTGTTTGAGCCCAGGAACTCAAGGCCTGGGAAGCATAGTGAGACTCTGTCTCTAAAGGAAAAAAAAAAATGAAACACATTTCATGCACATAAATTGGAAGAATTAATATCGTTAAAATATTCATACTACTCAAAGCAATTTACAGATTCAATTCAATACCTATCAAAATACCAATATCATTCTTCACAGATCTAGAAAAAATATGAAATTCATATGGAACCATAAAATATCCCCAATAGCCAAGGCAATTGTAAACAAGAGGAACAAAGCTAAAGGCATGATGCTACCTCAACTCAAAATATACTATAAGGTTAGAGTAACCAAATCAGTATGGTACTGGCATAAAACTAGACACCTAAATCAATGGAACACAAAAGAGAACTCACATATAAATCCATGTATTGATAGCCAACTCATTTTTGGCAAAGGAACAGGGAATATACAACGGGGAAAGAACAAGTCTCTTAAATAAATGGAGCTGAGAAAATGCTAGCAGATGCAGAGGATCTAGACCCCTGTCTCTCACCATATACAAAAATCAACTCAAAATGGATTAAAGGTTTAAATGCAGGTCCTAAAACTATAAAATGACTACAATAATGCACATAGGAAACACTCTAGACATGGGTCTAGGCAAAAATTTTATGGTTAAGACCACAAAAGCACAGGCAACAAAAATAAAAATAGACAAATGAGACTACATTAAGCTAAATAGCTTCAACACAGCAAATGAAACAATCAACAGAATTAAAAGGCAACCTGTTGAATAGAGAAAATATTTGCTATGTGTTTATCCTACAAGGAACTAATATCTACAATATATAAGAAACTCAAAAACTCAGCAGTAAAAACACAAATAATCCAATTAAAAAGTGGACAAAGGATCTGAATAGATGTTTCTCAAAAGGAGACATACAAATGGCCAACAGGTGTGTGAAAAGCACTCAACATTATTAAATAGCAGGAAAATGCAAACCAAAACTACAGTAAAATGTCATCTTATCCTAGTTAGAATGGTTATTGTTGGGAAATAAAAAATAATAGATACTGTCGAGCATGTGGAGAAACCAGAACTGTTGTACACTGTTGGTGGGAAAGTAAGTACAGCAATTATAGAAGACAGTATAGTAATTTCTCAAAAAATTAAAAATAGAACCACTGGCTGACCCAACAACTCTACTCCTGGGTATTTATACAAAGGAAAAGAAATCATATCAAAAGAGTACCTGCATTCTCAGGTTTATTGAGGCACTGTTCACAGTAGCAAAGATATGAAATCAATAGGTGAATCCATCAATGGGTGACTGAATAAACAGTGGTATATATACACAATGGAATGCAATTCAGCCATAAAAAAGAATGAAATTCTGTCAGTTGCAGGAACATGGATGGAACCAAAGGCCATTACGTTAGGTGAAATAAGCCAAGCAAGGAAAGGCAGATATCACGTGTTGTCACTCATATGTGCCAGCCAAAATGGTTAATCTCAGGGAAGTCAAGAGAGTAGAATAACAGTTAACCAGAATCTGGAAAGAATGTATGGATAGGAAAATATAGAAAGGCAGGTTAATGGATCCAAATGTTCAGTTATTAGAGAAAATAAATTCTAATATTTGATAGCACAGCAGACTGACTAAAGTTACAAAAATGTATATTTCAATATAGCTATAAGAGTGGATTTAAAATGTTCTCAACACAAAGAAATGATAAATGCTTGAGGTGCTGGATATCCTAAATATCCTGACTTCTTATACATACATTCTATGCATGTATCAAAACATCACATGTATCCCATAAATATGTACAAATATTATGCACCAATTTAAAAAATATTTTAAAAATAAACAACACAATATGGGGCATTTTAAAAGGTACAAAAATTATGAGCATGATAAAAATTTGGCAAATATTTCCCTTTATATTAACATCTTTTTCATTCTGTATGTTTAAGGAGAATAAAGTCCATATAGCATCAGAAGAGGTGGCTCTCCTGAAAGAGAATCCTCTTCCCAGTTAAAAAGACAGAAACAGAATCACTGGAGTGAGTTGCACTTTGGAGAACTGCACAGCACCACGTCTTAGTGTCTGGGATTACCAAGACTTAGTGAGGAGGGTTCACCTTCCATGAAGAACTAAACTTTGGTTCTCTTTCTTGTCTGTTCGTATTGCAAGATCAAAATTTCAGAAAACCAAGAGAAAGAATTCAGCCATAGGGATGTACTGTCTTTTACTCTCTTTAATTTCTTAGAATATCCACTGCCAAAGATGATCCAGACAGTTACAAGAAGAATTGTGTTCCCATTAAGGAAGGAGACCACTACTACTCCTGCTGCCCTCCTCCCCTCATCTTGCCTAGTTTATAAGACAGGAGAAAAGGGAGAAAGCAAAAAGTTGGGAAAGAAACAGAAGTAAGATGTATAGCCAGACAACCTTGGCACCACCACCCGGCCCTAGGAGTTAAAAAAGTAATAATAGGCCGGGCACGGTGGCTCATGCCTGTAATCCCAGCACTTTGGGAGGCTGAGGTGGGTGGATCACGAGGTCAGGAGATCGAGACCATCCTGGCTAACACAGTGAAACCCCATCTCTATTAAAAATACAAAAAATTAGCCAGGCTTGGTGGCAGGCGCCTGTAGTCCCAGCTACTGGGGAGGCTGAGGCAGGAGAATGCCATGAACCCAGGAGATGGAGCTTGCAGTGAGCCAAGATTGCACCACTGCACTCCAGCATGGGCAACAGAGCAAGACTCCGTCTCAAAAAAAAAAAAAGTAATAATAATAACATCAACCCCTGACCTAAACTACTTGGTTATCTGTAAATTCCAGGCATTGTTATGAAAAAGCATTG